TTGTCGGGATTATCTAGTCATTGTAATGGGTGTTCACTGAGGGCCTTCCCTGGACCGGTAATTGTTCTGGGACAAGTTAGAGCTGGCGCTTTGGGTTAGGGTAGTGGATATGGGACTCCCGAAAGTAGAATGACAAGACTTGGAGATTATTTGGTTGAGATGACAGGGTTGACCCAATTTACACTCCCTGTAACCCGCCGCCCCCTCTTTTCACCCTAGGGCTATCTACAGGCATGATGGAAGAATCCCATCCAACTTCAACAAAAATCTCACGTCTCGCAAACTGGGAAGCAGGGTGAGGGGGTGGCTGGGGCAGACCTGTGGTTTGCCCAAGGTCACACAGTGGAACTGGATCGTGTGGGCTTCCAAAGGGACTTTTTAGTTTCCTAAAAAGTGTGCTCTTATTTGCTCTTTTTTGTTGATTTGTTTTGTTTTTTACAATGAGCATAATTAGTTTTGTAATTTTAAATGTATTTGTGTGTTGGAACCCACGATCAGAAAGAAACCCGAGAAAACCAGTTACCCGAGCAACCCCCGCGAGGGCGTAGCGCCTGCTCCGCCCCCGCCCGCGGACTCCGGCTGAGCTCCGCCCTCGGGGATCCAGGAACTCAGCGCCCGCCAGCCGGGTCGTCGGGAAAACCCGGAGCGGCCAATCCCGGCGCGGCCCTGGGCGCTGCGTGCGCAGAAGGCGTCGGAGGCGCATGCTCTCTGGCGGTCCCGGCCCCGCGGACTGGCGCCGGCGCTGGCCTCCTTGGCCCGCGGACTCCTGGGCCGGCTGCGGGCATGGCGGCCAGTCTGTGGATGGGCGACGTGAGTGAGGGCAGCTGCCCGGGTCCGAGGAGGACGAATCTTAGCGTCACGGGGGAGGACGAGTCTGAAGGGGAAGGGTCCTCGAATCCCAGAAGGGTGGAAGTGAATGGGGAGAGGAGTTCTTTGGGTGAAACAGGCGGGTCCCAGAATTTAGGTGAAGAGACCGAGTCTGAGGATGGGGGTTCCCGGCCCTCCGCCTGCGTTCATGGAAGGGAAAGGGAAGTTCTTTAGGGGGATAGAATGGCTGGAATCCCAAGGATTGAAGGGCGCTGTGGCTCGAGGACTGGAGGGATAGGGTTACTAGATCCAAGGAGGAAGCTCCCTAAAGGGAGCAAGTTTGAAGGGAAGGGAGGCAAAGGATTGAAAACGTGGGAGGTGGGATTCAGGCCACTGTAGATGAAAATCTCCACTCCCCTCATCCCCGCCCCCACCAGCAGCATGTAGCCAACCCTGGGTGGGCTCTAGAACCGGGAATGAGGAGCCTGGATGCCCCCTGAATGTATTGCTCTTGTATTTACGCAGCTGGAGCCGTACATGGATGAGAATTTCATCTCCAGAGCCTTTGCCACCATGGGGGAGACCGTGATGAGCGTCAAAATTATCCGAAACCGCCTCACTGGGTACATTTTCTCCTTCCATCTTCTCAATTCTCCTTTAATAGACCGTGCTGCCAGTGTCATTCTCGAGAATGTAAACATCGAAAAGTCAGGGCTTCTCACCCCTAATAATAGTTAACATAATGTTATAAACGCTAACATTTGGGGGCTTATTGAGAGGAAGTATAGCATATTGTTAAGGACTGGACTCTGGAGCCAGACTGAAAGTTAGGTTTACTGTGTGACCTTGGGCAAATTACTAAACCTCTCCATTTCCATCTCACCGTGACTATGAAAATGGAGATGATAACACCATATCCTTCATAGAGTTATGGTGAGGATTAAATGAGTTAATTCACATTCAGCATTTAGAACAGTCTAGCCTATGGCATTTGGTCAGTGAATATAAACAGATTATGATCTGCTAGGTAGTAAGCGCTTCAAAATCCTTTTTTGAGGGGGCACCTGGGTGGCTCAGTCGTTAAGCCTGGACTCTTGATTTTGGTTCAGGTCATGATTTCAGGGTCCTGGGGTCGAGCCTGCAGCGGGACTCTGCGTTGGGTGTGGAGCCTGCTTAAGATTCTCTCTCTCTCTTGGGGCACCTGGGTGGCTGAGTCAGTTAAGCATCTGCTTTCAGCTCAGGTCATGATCTCAGGGTCTTGGGATCAGGGCTCCCTGCTCAGTGGGGAGTCTGCTTCTCCCTCTCCCTCTGCCCCTCCTGGTCTCCAAAAAAATAAAAATAGAAATAATCTTTTAAGATTCTATTTTTTTAGATTTATTTATCCAATGCAGAGCTCGATCGTAGAACCCTGAGATCATGACCTGAGCTGAAGTCAAGAGTCAGATGCTTAACCGACTGAGGCACCCGAGTGCCCCAATAAATAAATCTTAAAAAAAAAAAAAGGATTTTATTTTTAAGTAATCTTCACACCCAATGTGGGGCTCAGACTTAGAACCCCAAGATCAAGAGTCACATGCTTCTTGGACTGAGCCAGCCAGGCGCCCCTAAAATAATTTTTTAAATTACAAAAACGTCTGAGCTAAGTATTATTATTAGGGAAGCTTCATAACTGTCTTAAAGTTTACAGAGCTATTAAATGACAAGCCAGGACTCAGATCTGTTCTTAAAGTCATGAGTGCCCTTAACTTAAAAAGTTATTTATAGAAACAGTACCATGTGCTGTTGTTGTAGGTTCCTGGGATATGTGGCTGAAACAAACCAGGCATAGTCCCTCCTCATGGAGTTTACTACATTCTAATGGGGAAACAGCAGTAAATATGTAAACAAAACAAAATGCAGAGAATATTTTGAGATAGTGGTGCTATGTTGCCTGCACATTCTTCCTTCTCTTGAGGGGTCTCACTTTTCCTTAGAGTTCTAATTAGAAAAAAGAGGATTCTCTTATTTTGACAATGTTTACTGAGCAGGTACTCTGCCAGGTACACTACCAAAGCAGCTTGCTGAAACATCAAATGGTTGAAAAATACAGATGAGAGATGAAGTGTGGTCAGTTCTGGCTGTTTGGTTGACAGGTACTTTGTGTATTCAGAATCCCAGTACCTATTACTGAAACCCAAGTATGGCTGCCTGTAGAGAGAAAGGCCAATATTCTAGAGATGAGGTGTTTTGGTTTTTTTCTCTTGCCCCCCCCACCCCCACCCCCACCAAAGAGACGAGTTTTGATTGGAAGGGAATATGAGCTTTATTCAGGAGGCCGGCTACCTGGAGAGAAGGTGGACTCTTGTCCAAAAGCCAACTCCCAAGGTTTCTCCTGACCCAGAAATTTTTAAAGTGATTTAGGGCAGTTAATTAGTTAAGGGAATGCAGTGGTCTATGACAACTTTTGACTACGTGCAGTCTCGATGGTGCCAGCTACAGATGTTATCATGGTGGTTGAAGGTATTGCAGTGGGGTCTGGTTCCTTAGTCGGGGGGTAGGGCGGTGTTGTGCAAGAGGGTTTGGTTTCTTGGTGCCCCGGGTGGTGCAGGAGAGCCCGGTGACATGTAGAAGTGCTCTGTTCTTTCTAGGAAAGAACGCATGATCCATAAATGTACACAGGTTTAGTTAATCAGTCAGGTGGGTTAAGGGTGCTTGCTAAAACTTAAAAGACTAGGTTGGCCAGAGGGGCCAAGGCAGCTTCATACCTAGGAACAGTTTGTTTTTGTTTTTTGTTTTTGTTTTTTGTCTTTCAACCATTTTATGAAATGAGAAAAGACCAAGGTAGCCACGAGGCCATTCACATACAGGTATGCAGTGTGGATGAGGAAGGGACAGAGGAAAAACCAGCACGACGCCAGGTGATCACTGGGAACCAACTTCCCCAAAGCTCCTAACAGCAGAACACTCTAGACAGGAGCATATTTATATAGGTCCTACAGAAATAGACTTGGTTCCATGCCTATTCTCTGCAATTGGCCTGTCCCTGTAGGCTTTTTTGTATCAAAAGGAGTAGAGGTTTTCAGTGACCCTGAGGCAGGCATAGAGAACTCATTGCCGGTCCCTGCCCAGCTCCTGGGATGCCAGGACGGGACAGGTGGAAAGGGAGAAGCAACTGTACAGCCTGGAAAAAAATACAGTGAGCACAGTGGACCACGGAGGGGCTCCCCGGGTCCTGCTACATGAGGCCATTAACACACCTTGACTCTGAGCCTGATAAACAGTCTCAGAAAGGACCCTGTGCCCATACGTGAAATGTTTCTCGGGGAGAACAGCCCCCACCCCCCGCACACACTAGTCCACGGGGCCCTCAGTTTTCATTCTGAGGTCTGGGAGCTGCAGCTCAGAACAGGGATGAAGAATTGCACCAGCTACACTCAGGGCGAGCCAAGAGCCTTTCCCTGGGAGGCCGTGGCTCTGCTGCTCCCTCCTCTTCAGCGTTGGTGCCTGCTTCCGCCCAGCTGCCTACATACTCTCTCCACTTGCTTTTTATTTGCACTGTATTCTAGGAACAGATTCTCTGGCAGGTAGATCATGCTAGCCTAAATATTTTTCTTCTTTTTGCTCTTGTAGACAGAAAACCCCAGATAATCAGCTACTAGTATGAAAACACATTCTGTAATACTTTCTACTTTATTGAAATAAAATTTGGAACTCTTTTCCTGTCCGTGATTCCTAAACTCTGGCTATTTCTTATGTACTTACAAACACATTACATTTATGTCTTGCCTCATTTGACAGACTTTGGAGTGTCCTGTAAGAATACTGTAAAATAAATAAATGCAAATTTAAAAACCAAGACCAGAGAAAATAAGGGGAAAAAAATAAGACCCATGGAGAATAATATGCAGCAGAGCATAGTGCTTAAGAATGCAGTCAGTGGTTGCACAATAATGTGAATATTCTTTTTTTTTAAGATTTTATTTATTTGAGAGAGAGGGAGACAGCGTGCACGTGCAGGGGAGAGGGGCAGAGGGAGAAGCAGGCTCCCCGCTGAGCAGGGAGCCCGACTCGGGACTGGATCCCAGTACCCTGAGATCATGACCTGAGCCAAAACCAAGAGTCAGGTGTTTAACCAACTGTGCCACCCAGGCACCCTCAGAATATCTTTTATAGCTTTTCTTTTTTTATGTGTCTCTCTCTTTTTTTTCCCCCCATCTTAGGCGGGTCGTGTGCCAAGGTTGTAACAGTTTAAGGGAGGTACATGTCACAACAGTATGAACACTCAATCATCACAGTAATGAAGTACAAAAGGATCATCTCCTGTCTGTTTTAAGTGTAGGAAAGCTCACCTCTTATCTTTTCTCGTACCACTGACTTTTTAAAGAGGTAGGACTAAATTGTCTTACATAAGGTCCTACATTCTGGAATCTGGTTTTATTTGCTTCCTTGTGGTGGTGTTTTAGCTGTTCTGTCCCTAATATTCCCTATAAACTGGACATTAGATCTAAGGGTTTGATTGGATTGTATTAAATATTTTGGAGGGCGCCTGGGTGACTCAGTAAGTTAAGTGTCTGATTCTTGATTTTGGCTCACGTCATGATCTCGGTCGTGGGATCGCATCCTGAGTCAGGCTCGGTACTCAGCAGGGAACCTGCAGCTCTCCCTCTCTCTGCTCCTCCCCCTCTCTCTGCTCCTCCCCCTCTCTGCCCCTCCCCCTCTCTCTGCTCCTCCCCCTGCTTGTGTTCCCTCTCTCGCTCTCTGTCTTACTGTCAAATAAATAAATAAAATCGGGAACACAAGCAGGGGGAGTGGGAGAGGGAGAAGCAGGCCTCCCGCGGAGCAGGGAGCCTGATGCCGGTCTCGATCCCAGGACCCCGGGATCATGACCCGAGCTGAAGGCAGATGCCCAACGGCTGAGCCACCCAGGCGCCCCTCAAATAAATAAATCTTAAATATTTTTGGCAAAAGTACTTCAAAGGTGCTACAGTACATAAATAAGTGTTTATTAGAGGAGTCTGGACTGGCCCAAGTGGACAACCCTTATATTCAGGTTTGTTAAGTTCTGAACTGGAATATGGCAGGGAACAAAAATAGGATGAGCTCTGATTAGAAAAACATTTTTCCCTCCCCTCAGGCCAGAGCTCAGTCTCATCTGGGAATCCCATCTTTAACCATTCTCTTTCTCTTGTTTGCTTTCTTTCCAGAATCCCAGCTGGCTACTGTTTTGTAGAATTTGCAGATTTGGCCACAGCCGAGAAGTGTTTGCATAAAATTAATGGGAAACCCCTGCCAGGAGCCACACCTGTAAGGACACTTGGATAATGATGATGTTCCCATTTTTATTGTCATCGATAACTATCATTCATTGAATCCCTACTGTATACTTACTCTGTTGAACCCTATAACAACCCTGCACAGTAGGCATCGTTATCTTTGGCAGCCCAGGAAACCGAAGCTCAGGGAGGTGGCGTAACTTGTCCAAGGCAGCGCAGGTAGTAACTAGCAGAGGCGGGACGCCAGCGGAAGATTGGTTGCCTCCAAAATCCATGCCCTTTGCACTCTGCACTGCTGCCTCCCTTCATGGAAGACTTGCAACTCTAGACCTCTTGCCTGATTGAGAAACTAGAACAGGCTGGCAGCAGTGAGGACACATTTCAAGAGAGTTACATTCTGCTCTTCCCACAGTTACTTAGCTTACAGCCGCACCAAGCTGGCACACCTGGGCTCATAGAACCACGGAGTTGGCAGTGCCCTTAGCGGTCATCCGTGCAACCCCCTCACTTTATACAGGAGAGAAAGCTGAGGCTTAGAGAGGGGGAGATGTTTTGGCCAAGGTAATTTATTTCAGTTTTTTTCAAATATTGTTTGACTCTTGAAACACCTTTCTCTGTTTTAGTTTGTTTGTTTTTCAATTTCTAGGCAAAACGTTTTAAACTGAACTATGCCACTTATGGGAAGCAACCAGATAACAGGTAAGTGCAGGGTAGCCCCAGGGTAGCTTCAAGGCCCAGGAAATGTCTAGAGACAAGATGTGTCACTGTGCTGGTCACCACCAAAGAGGTTGGGGAGCCCAGTTTGGTCCACTCTGCCTTCCTCCTGAAGGATGACTCCCTCCCCTCCCCTGCTGGTGGACCTGCCCAGTGTGCTTCTTGTCAAGACCCATGTCTTCTCTGTATTTGGTGCTGCCTCTAGCCTTCCACCCTGTTAGTACCTGCAGTATTGAAGTTTTATTCAGTAAGAATTGACCTGTTGTAGTGACATAAATTCATTGTTTCAGGGTGCCCTTCAAAAGCTTTAAAACAATGTATCAAGAGCTTTAAAAAGATTTGTACCCACTGACCCTGTAATTCTACTTCAGAATTTATACGTGGATGTATGCAAAGATTAGCTTCAAAAGTGTTTGTTGAAATATTACATATAATGGGGGAAATTGGGGAAAAACCCAAATAACCTAATAATAGAGAAGTAGCTTAAATGACAATATGTTCATTAATTGGAATACTATGTATCCATTTGTAAGTCATTTTGCAGCAGATGAGGACAGGTCAAGAAGTTGGTGATAAGTTAAAAGTGAAAAATGCTAGAAACAAAACAAGGGAGTCATACCCAAGTTTTGTAAATTCAAAAAGGAAAGCCAGGGGTGCCTGGGTGGCTCAGTCGGTTAAGCGTCCAGCTCTTGATCTCAGCTCAGTTCATGATCTCATGGTTGTGAGTTTGGGCCCCACATTGGGCTCCACGCTGGGGGTGGAGCCTACTTTCAAAAAGAAGAAAAAAGGGATATCTGGGTGGCTCAGTTGATTAAGTGTCTGCGTTCGGCTCAGGTCATGATCCCAGGGTCCTTGCTCAGTGGGGAGCCTGCTTCGCCCACTGCCTGCCACTCGACCTGCTTGTGCTCACTTTCTCTCTCTCTTTCTCTCTGACAAGTAAATAAATAAAATCTTAAACAAACAAACAAAAACACAAAGAAGCCAAAGAAAAAAGACAAAAGTATATAACAGTGTTCATAGTGATTACCTTCGAGTGGTTGGGTTACTGGTAATTTTATTTTTCTTTGTCCTTTTGTGTATTCTGATTTAAACAAGGAATATGTATCATACTTGAACTAAGACTATAATAATGAGTCTGCTTGTTTGATATTTTTTGTTAAATAATTTTTTCTAGAACAGAGGTTGACAAAATGTGACCTGACTTATATCACCTGTGAGCTAAAAATAAAAATGGTTTTTACACTTTTAAAGGATTGTGAAAACAGAAAAAGCAACAGAGACCATAGGTGCCCCACTAAGCTTAAAATTTTTACTATCTGGCCTTTTACAAAAAAAGTTTGCTGATCCATGTTCTAAAAGTTGGCAGATTTCATTTTAGCTCTGCTTTCAGTCTTAGGAGATAAGGTCCAGTTCTCATTCTCCATCTTCACCATTTGAATTAAAAATATGCAGTGAGGGCCTCCTGGCTAGCTTAGTCGGTAGGGCATGCGACTCTTGATCCTAGGGTCATGAGTTCGAGCTCCACATTGGGCGTAGAGATTACTTAAAAAAATATTTGCAGCGAATACAGAGTGTCTAGTTTTCTCTTTTGAGCACCTCTGACCAGGCCCCCCCATCTGCACTCCTGTAATATTTGAAGCCAGACAGGCTTTGTTCAGTGGATAAGGCGCTTGGGACAGGGGCTGCTTCCATAACTCTCTGCCAGGACTGCCAGGAGCAACAAATTAGGACCTGGCTAAGGACCCATCAGATGTGCTTGTTCCCCGGGAAGGCCCAGGAGAGGTTTACCTAGAATGGGCCAAAAGAGCTTGTTAGAACAAAGCTTTCGGTGTCTGTCTCTGAATCTTGTTCTCCCCTCTCAGCCCTGAATACTCCCTCTTTGTGGGGGACCTCACCCCAGATGTGGATGATGGCATGCTGTATGAATTCTTCGTCAAAGTCTACCCGTCCTGTCGGGGAGGCAAGGTGGTTTTGGACCAGACGGGCGTGTCAAAGTAAGGCCTTACCTGTGACTGATGCCCACCGTGTTCCAGCATTTGTCTCAAAGATGGGGGTGTTAGAGCGAGTCCATGTAGCATGGGAATGAAGAGCACGGGCTCTGGAGCCAGACTGTGGTGTGCATCCTGACTTGGGTACTGGCCCAACCTCTCACCTGATTATTTCCTCATTGGTACAACAGATGCTAATTAATAGTGTGCTCACAGGCCTGACCTAACGGTTATGTGATGTGCTATAAATAAAGCAATAGGATATGCTGGGTAGGTGTTTGCCATTTTACCTATTATTGTTACTTCAAAGGTAGAAAAACCTCAAGAAAGGCTTATTTTTGATCAGAGTAATAGTTATAAGCACAAGTTTGAGTTACAAGCTCAAGACGTGGATTTGAATCCTGCTTCTACAATGATGTTGGGCAAGTTACTGAATCCCTCTGAACTTGATTTCCTCCTCAGTAAAATGGGGACACTACCGTTATCTAATCATTGGGCCGTTTGACGAGATAATCCTAGGGAAATGCTCAGCACAGTGCCTGGGAGATAATAAGTGCTCACGAAATACTAGCTATCATTTGTTGATCCCGGAAGTAGGATATGAGTCCCGGGGCGCCTGGGTGGCTCAGTCGGTTAAGCGTCTGACTCTTGTTTTTGATGGACTCTTGGTTTTGGCTCAGGTCATGATCTCAGGGTCGTGAGATCGAGCCCCACGTGGGGCTCTGGGCTCAGTGCGGAGTCTGCTTGAGATTCTTTCCTCCTTCATCTCCTTCACCCTCTGCCCCTCCCCCCCCCTCGCGCGTACCTGTTCTCTCTCAAATAAATAAATAAATAAATAAAATCTTAAAAAAATATATGAATCCAGCAGTGCTTACGACTGCTGAGCCCCGTTGTCTAAACGTGATACCTGGTGTACAGGGCAGACGGGGTAAATGTTCGCTCAGGGAACCACAGCTGTTCCTACCACCACCGCTGCCATGATGATGAGCATGGTAACAGGATTTCCAGTAGATTGGGAGGGAAGCCACTGGGAAGGAGCCCCATCAGTCAAGGCGTGGAGGGGATTCCTCGGCCCCAGGCTCCTGCCGAACTGGAGTTTCACATCGCTCGATGGCACGCCTCTACTGACGGGGCTCTCATCCCTTCCTGCAGAGCTGGACAGACGCTCCCTCTCTTCCATTCTTCGACTTCGCCTTCATCACGTTTGTGATCTAAATAAGGTATATGCTTTTGTTTTCTGCAGGGGCTATGGTTTTGTGAAATTCACGGATGAACTGGAACAGAAGCGAGCTCTGACCGAGTGCCAGGGAGCAGTCGGCCTGGGGTCTAAACCAGTGCG